TAATGTATTATATTTGAGGAGGAAGCATGGAAATTTACATCATGCTAATTAGTAGAGGTGATAATACCATTGGAATCCGCCCAATGACTTTATAGACATACATGGGCGCCAAGGATCCCAGCGCAACCAGTTATGACTAGTAGTGATCAGATACATACAGATTAGAGATGCAAGCAACAACATCTCAGTGTTAGTAGTAAAAAAAATAAAAATAAAAAGCAGTTTAGTTGTTAAAATTGAGCTATTTAATTTTTTAATTCTTTATTACTTTATCCTTTAAAAAAGTTGAATAGGAGGCCAGGCATGGTGGTGCATGCCTTTAGTCCCAGCACTTGGGAGCCAGAGGCAGGTGGATCTCTGTGAGTTCATGGCCAGCCTGGTCTACATAGTGAGTTCCAGGCCACCTGGGGCTACAGGGAGACCCTGTCTCAAAAAAGACAAAAAAAAAAAAAAAGTTGACTAGGTAGGATTGACAAATGATCAAAGAACGCCAGAATAACTTGATTTTTTAATTTTGAGATGCTACTCTGGGTTATCTTGTATATGGTTTTCATCTCCCATTTTACTTAATACCCAAATTCCAGCCCTCAGAGATAGAAATGGAGACTCAGATGCATCTCTACGGACATACAGAAGAGATAACCAGCTTGTGTGTCTGCAAGCCATACAGTGTGATGATAAGTGTGAGCAGAGACGGGACTTGCATCGTGTGGGACCTCAACAGGTACAGAACATGTGCCCACCCATATGTGACTGCTTACATGTTACAGATCTTCCTATATATATAATAGATACACTAAAATCATGTCAGTACCATGTAAGTTTAAGCATAAGATGCATGCTTAAAGATAGTAGGGGTACCGCTGTCCTCTTACCAAAGTCAGAGTATCTGACGGAAAATATTAATGCCTTATGACTAATAGTTATATATACTGCGGAAATAAAGACTAAGAGAATGTAACCCTATATGTGATCATGTATGCAAATTCATGTTATGTTTTAGGCTATGCTATGTACAAAGTCTGGCAGGACACAAAAGCCCTGTGACAGCTGTCTCTGCCAGTGAGACGTCAGGTGACATTGCCACTGTGTGTGATTCAGGTGAGTGATCCCCAGCTGCAGCCCAGCACTGCAGAGCTACTGCCTCAGTAGGGCTTCTCCAAGCTCCCTCCAGATGGGAGTACAACCCAGGAAATAGTGCTGCCCACAGTGGGTGAATCTTCCCACCTCAGTTAACCTAGTGAGGTGATCCTCCACAAGCATGCCCAGAGCCCATCTCCCAAGTGATTCTAACCCAAGAAAATATGATGCACTTTTATCGATGGTTCATGGGTTGGGCAGTACCCACCAAGATAGAAAGGCACTCCTGAGCTGAGCAGGGGAGGTGGGCCATGCAGGCAGAAGGCTGAAGAAAGCAGAGTGGACTTCCTTGCCATAGGACTCAGAGTGACTGCACTCTTTGTGATTGGTGGCTGTGAATCTCTTCTCTTGAAAATTGCCTCATTTCCAAGTTTACTTAAGTTATATGGCACCTAGCACAAGTAGCTCCTTCTGGTCTGGTCTGCTGGAGCCTAGGGCCACCCCCAGGTTTTAGTGAATATTCCCAACTAAACAGAAGACTGCAGTAGATGACCAAGGTTGAGTATGTCTGTCAGTTCCCGAGAGAGAACAATAGCATAAAAATGCTAAATGGAAGCCAGGCGTGGTAGTGCATGCCCTTAATCCCAGCACATTGGGAGGCAGAGTCAGGTGGATCTTTGTGAGTTCTAGGCCAGCCTGGTCTACATATCAAGTTCCAGGACAGCTAGGGCTACAGGGAGACCCTGTCTCAAAAAGACAAAAGAAAAAAAAGCTAAATGGAGATATAATTTGCTTTAAAATTTTAAACTATGACAAAGATATATCTCCTAATCAAAGATCATATTTTATTTTTTTCATTCATATAAGTTTAAAATGTGATGCATCCAGCATCTATTAAAAAACTCATGAATTTTCTGTTAGCATTTCTATTTTTAAGGTTCTTCAAACTGAAAGAATCTTTTGGAAAAAATGTTTGCCATTTTCTATTCATTCAGTGTAGAGTATCTTTGACACATCTCTAGTACCTGGGCCTCTGTTCTTTGCTTACATTTTTGTACTGTTTGTTTGGTATTTTATCTTATTAAAGTTATTTTATTTCATTTTACTTTATTTTTTTCTATTTTTATTTATTAAATTTATTTTTATTTTATTTCATTTTTATTAATTGGTTGGGTGTTTTTTTGAGACAAGGTTTCACTCTAACCCAGGCTGAACTTGGACTCATAGTGATTGTTCTGTCTCAGCCACTTGCGTACTAGGATTACAAGTGTGCTCCACCATGCCACAATTCAAGCCTAGTGACTGAACGAGTCCATGACCACAAATGTCCAGGCTCAGTAATTCATTGGAATGCCCCTCGGAGCTCAGTAAAACACCGTGGAAGCTGAGTATTCCTCTGTGTTTCGAATACCTTATATACTAGCCTGAAGGGAACTTTATATGACAGTTTTAGTGCACCTGCAGCCCATCACATGAGGTCATGTATGGAATTTTCTAGTTGTGATGTCATGTGGACACCCAGGAAGTTCCCTCCTTACAGCATTTCCCATTGAGAATGCTCAACTTGCCACCTCAGCTTATGATAAAGATAGAGGTGAACAGCCAGATGATGAATGGAAAGGGGTCAGGCACTGAGCACATGAGTCTCTGTCCTCCTGGGCTGAAGACTGGATGTGGTTGCACCACCCTCTAGCACAGGGTGGAGTTCTTCAACCCAGAGGTACCCCTAACTGTCATGTAAGGGTTTTACGGAGGCTCATGGCATAGGCATGGTTGGTGACACTACAGTTTCAGCCTCTCTTTCTCCATGGATATCTGAAAGTTCCCAATCTCTAATCGTTTGGATTTTTTTCTGGTGACCAACCCTGATCCTAAAGCCATCAAGCCCCGCCAGGAATCATCTCCTGAGTGTGCAGAAGGCAGGAGATTCCAGAGGTTTTAGGAGCTCTGTGCTACCAAATGCTTATAATACAGATATCTCTTAGGGTTTTGTTCTTGATGTTGTTTTACAAGACATTAATTCATTGTTTTATAGTTTGTTTGTAAACAGGGTCTCCCTAAGTAGCCCAGGCTGGCCTCAAACTCATGACAATCCCCCTGCCTCGCTTGGCTGGACAAGTGCTAGTTAATTTCAGGCATTCCCCACCATGCCCAGCCAGTTATTTATTTTTGTAGTCAAGAAAGTAATAGCCTTAGTCATGTTTATAGATTTCCAGTGTCAAAAGTGTTTCTGTCTCAGTGCATCTTAAAATCATGTCATGAAAACATTGTTATTTCCTAATGACCAAAGCTAAGAGAAACCTTTGTCTTTGGTCATGTAAGGGAACAGATAATGGACAAGTTTGCTCATTGCTTTTCCTTGATTTTCGCATTAGCAGTTTTCACTGTGTCACACCGAGGGACACTGGATAAATAATGTAATGATTATTTATAAAAAGTTCTCTGCTTTCTTGTTTTAGAACTATTTGAAAGTTAGGTCTTATCCCACAGGAGCTGAATTTGGGAGAGTTAATTACTTCCCTACAGCCAGTAGTGACTTAGATCTGTGATATGATATCAGCTGGTCAGATGGAATGAGACATAAAATTGCTTTCGCCACAGGTACAAGCTTGCTTAATGGGTTATTCAGATGTCCCTGAATAGTGAGCAGAACCAGAGAGGGATAGATAGAGCTTCACTCCTGATTTGAGCAAAATGCCTTCTCATCATTTTCAAGACCCCCTTGAAACGTGTATTAAAAGAGTCATTAAAAGCACTAGATACAGAAAATGTAATTTTTAAAATTACATTTTTTAAGAGAGAGTAACATTTAGTTACTCAGACTAGACCCCTGTTTTCTCACAGGCCAAGAAGGGAAGAAAGCCTTAAAATACAGCCTACCAAAAATCTTGACTGTTTAGTGGATACCATCTAAGTAGGCTTGAAACCAAAATTTAAAATGTATATGCATATTAATGTGTGAATATCAAATCTTCCCAAAAGTCGCACTGGCAGCTTTGTTCCTCATCACAGTTCTTCACATTATGGGATGTGACTTACAACAATAAGATGTGAAATTAATTAAATTATGAAAATATTGTAACAGGTTATTTCTGCCTTTAACCATTCTATTGCTAGACCAAAATGCACATCATGGAATGAGGGTAAGATATGCATGGCCTGGTCCTCTGTTAGAGTGGCATTGTGAACTTAATGAATAGTCTGAGACTCAGGGCCAACCAGGTGGTTCTCCAGTTTATTATAATTCCCACAACAATGTGTGAGACTAGGGTTGCTTTTTTAGAACACCCAAGCTTGTGACTTTCAGTTGGTGCATTATGTTTTACATGAAAGTAATCTGATATGGAGTAACAGTCTCTTACGTTGCCACATAGAGTGAATTTTGTTTTGTGGTATCTCAAGATGCTGGGCAAGATGCTTTGCTAATAAGCAGCACACAGCATGTTAGGGCATCAGGTCCATATTCATGTTTTTCATTTTGAAAGGTTAAGCCATGAAGTAGCTATGGACTAAAAACAAAATGGTGATTCTCAGGACTGGAGAGATGACTCGGGTTAAGAGGACAGTCTGAGGTCGGGCCTTTAGTGGTGTACGCCTTTAGTCCCAGCACTTGGGAGGCAGAGGCAGTGGATCTCTAATGGTTAAAGGCAGCCTGATCTACATAGTGAGTTCCAGGACAGCTGGGGCTATAGGGAGACCCTGTCTCAAAAAAACCAAAAAAAAGACAGTCTGATATGCATAGCAAGCTCAAGAGCTACATAGTAAGACCCTGTCTCAAACAGACAAACAAACAAACAAAAAAAAAAAACAAGTATGTACTGCTCTTGCATAGCACCCAAGTTCCCAGTTCTGTTATCAGCACCCCATCAGGTGGCTCACAGCTGCCTGTAGCTCCAGCTCCAAGGAACCCAATGCCTCTGACCTTTATGGGCACTGCACTCAAATGCACACACATAATTTTTAAAAATTTTTTAATCTTAAAAAAAAAAAGTTATTCTTGGGGGCCGGAGAGATGGCTCAGCAGTTAAAAGCACTGTCTGCACTTACAGAGGACTGGGTTTGGTTCCCAGCATGCACAGCTGTAACTCTAGTTCCAGGGGCTCCAGTGACCTCTTCTGGCCTCTATGGCCACTGCATGACACAGGTGCACTTACCTACATGCAGGTAAAACACTCATATACATAAAATAAAAATAAATAAACGTGATTCTCCTTTAGCTTACTGTTCTTGTGTCTGGTGTTACATCTAGGTGACATCTCCCAATCCATGTTCTACTGTTCGAAGTCATAATAACACTAGGGAGAAAGCAAGAGTGTCCTTACCATAAACTCTGACCTTTGAGACACTTCTTAAACATGCAGCTCAGTGGCATTAATTACATTAACAGTGTTATATAGCCATCAGTACTCTTTCAAATATTTTTCCATTAACCCAAAAGTGAAAAATAAAAAGCAAGTCTGCATAGTCACTGAGTCAGATGACCCACTCCTCGTCCCCACCCTCTGGGCTACTGCGGGTTACCTACAGTCTGTGTTCTCTCCCTTATGGATCTACCTATGCTAGCTCTCTTACAGCAGAGAATCATACAGTATTTGTCTTTTTGTGTCTGTCTTGTGTCACTTAGTGTGGTGTTTTCAAAGCCCATCCATGTTGTGTTCAGGTGTCAGGACTTCTTTTTATGGTGAACAGTACTACACATAACAGTGTACACGTATGTGTACACATACCACATCTCTTTGTCTATCTTCTGTTGAGGACATTTGGGTTGCTTCCATCTTTTGACTATTTAGAGTAATGCTTTAAGCCCCACCCCAGGCATTTTGGCCTGTGATATTTGGTTTTCTAACATGTCTTTATCGGGGAGAGGGGCTGTATCTGCCACGGTACTCATGTGGAGGTCAAAGACAACCTTGGGTGTCAGTCCTTGTCTTCCACCTTGTTTGTGACAGTATCTCTTTGTTCACTGCTGTAGTACAACAGGCTGGCTGAGCCACAAGCTTCGGAGGATCCTCCTGTCTCCACCTCTTATTTTAGGTGTAATCCCATAGGACACTGGGATTATAGACACAAGCTGCAGCATCTGGCTTTCAGTGTCTTAGATTCATTTCCTGTCACTGTGATAAAATACTCTGGTAAAAACAACTTAAGGGAGAAAAGGTTTGCCTCACAATTCCAGGTTGCAGTCCATCCTTGAAAGAGGTCATGGCAGCAGAAGCTTGAGGCAGCAGGTCAGATTACCATAGTCAGCCCCAGGAACAGGGAATTCATGCATGCAGAGCCAGTGCCCCATTCATTGCCTTCTCTATTTACACAGCCCTCAAAGAGTGACCTGTCCACAGTTAAGATAGGTCTTCCCACTTCAAATAACTTCCTCACGGACATTCTCAGAGGCTAAGCTTAATCTAGATACTCCCTCACAGGTGTACTGGTCTGCCTCCTAGGCATCAAGTTGACAGGTACTACTAACCATCACACAATTCTGGAGATCTGAACTCGGGTCCTTATGCTTGCATGGCAAGCACTTCCCACTGAGCTGTCTCCCAGGCCCTTACTCTGTCTTTAAAAGAAAAACTCAGTTTAGTATGATATCTTGATAAGATTCCATATTAGGTATTCTGAGGAATACGGGTTTTTTGTTTTGTTTTGTTTTTTCTTTTTAAGAATTAGTTTTTAACTCATACCATTTTTACTGCAACATTTTTTTTCTCTTTAAAAGTCACCTAAGACACTTTGGATTTTCAGGTACAGTCCTGATACACAGCTCAAGCTAACCTAGAACTCACTGTCCTCTCGCCTCACCTTCCAGGTGCTTAGATCACAGTGTGTGCCACCATGCCTGGCTTAAGTCACTTCGGGAGGGTGTGCTCATGCGTCAGCATGTGTGGAGGCCAGAGCCTGGTTTCCGGTGTCTTTTTCTATTTCTCTCCCTCATGTTTGAGGAGGGTCTCACTGAACAGATCTCACTATTTCTTCTAGACTCACTGGCCAGCAAGTCCTGGCAATTTGCCTATGTGTACCTACCCAGCATGTGCACACCACCACAGCAGCTTTTACATGGGCTCTGGGGACCTGAACTCAAGGCAGCATGTTTACACAGCAAGCACTTTACCAACTGAGCCATCTCCCCAGCCTCCTTAAGTCATTTTTTTTCTATTCTTTTTTTTTTTTTGAGACAGGATCTCTCCATAACCCAGCTGATCCTCCCTAAACCAGGCTGGCCTCCATCTCATAGAGATCTGCCTGCCTCCCAAGTTCAGGGATTAAGGGCAAGCACCACTGTACCTGGCTCTAAGTCACTTCTTACTGATGGGTTTCACAGAATATTTTTCTCTCATTTTTAGAAACTAGTGTTCTAGGTGCTTTAAAATATAACTGAGATTTTTTTCTGAGCCTCATGGTGAGTTCGAGGCCAGCCTAGTCTACATACTGAGTTCCAGGTCAGCTGGAGCCACATAATGAGACCTTGTCTCAGAAGAGAGAAAAAGAAAAGTCAGTTCATATACAGAAATGTAATTTACAAGGACTCCTGGTCCATTTCCTTCATTGCTCTAGAGCTAGATTGCATTCTACTTTGTCACAGTCTGTACAGAGGACAGTGTGGCAATTACAGTTGTCAGTCATGGCTCTATGAACTTCACTGAGCAAGTAGGGTGGCCCTTAGGGATGCCGAGGGGCCCAGGTGTGGGACGCTGAGACACTCTGGTGATCTGTGGGACAATCTGTGTTTCAGCTGGCGGAGGCAGTGACCTGAGACTCTGGACAGTGAATGGGGACCTCGTTGGACATGTCCACTGCAGAGAGATCATTTGCTCTGTGGCTTTCTCCAACCAACCTGAGGGAGTGTCCGTCAATGTCATTGCTGGGGGACTGGAAAATGGCGTTGTACGGTAAGAGAGAGTCTATCTTGTTCAATAGTGATCACTGCCATTTGAGAACTTTGTTTTCAATATCTGGGCATACTAATACTTAGTATTTAGAGATTTAAATTCACTTTTATGTATAGTCATTATTTCTGTTGCATTTCTTTTTTCTTTTTTTCATCATGTGGATTCCAATGATTGAAAAAGATTATCACGCTTAGAGGAAAGCTCCCTTACTTGTTAAACCATCTCTTGAGCTCCACCATTTTTTTTCTTTTTTTTTTTTTTTTTTTTTTATCTTTTTGAGACAGGTTTCCCCTATTGCCCCAGCAGGCCTGGAACTCGCTGTGTAGACCAGGTGGGCCTTGAATGCACAAAGATCCTCCTGCCTCTGCCTCCCAGGTGCTGGGACTAAAGGCATGCACCACCACACCGGGCTCCTGTTGTATTTCTAAATAATAAAGGTAATGCAGTTTTGATGACTCGGTTAACTCTAAAAGATGAGCCATATGATTATATACAAAGTTCATTGCTCCACCTCACCTTCTGTGAGCTTCCCAGAGTGCATCTGTGTTTCAATGAATGCAGTCTTAGTTTGCATAATTGGATAATGACTTCTCTTCCTTCTAGATTGTGGAGCACCTGGGATTTGAAGCCTGTGAGAGAAATTACATTTCCCAAGTCAAATAAGCCTATTGTAAGGTAAGATCTGCCCCTCCTTTATTCTTCATATACAACTGTGATTATATTTTTGTTAAAGAAATATTAAAGCATACAGACCCAAAAAAATACATGCTAAGACTTAAAAAGCATGGCCACATGTCAGGAAGTTTCTGGAACCATAGAAACTGTTCTTTCTGAATCCACATTTGCAAAGACTGTCATGTGACGACTGCCACAAGGGTGTGCTTGACTAGGACAAACCCAGTCACCCTTGACTTGGCTTACAAATGTGACTTTAAAATTCAACCAGTAGTTGCTGGGCATCGTGGTGCATGCCTTTCATCCCAGCACTCGGGAGGCAGAGGCAGGCAGATCTCTGTGAGTTCAAGGCCAGGCTGCTCTACATAGTGAGTTCCAGGACAGCTGGGGCTCCAGGGAGACCAAAAAAAAACAAAAAAAAAAAAAAAAAAAAAAGAAATTCAACCAGTAGTTAAGAGATTTGAATTATACTTCATTCAAATACACTTATTTTGATTGTGCTATTAATTGGTGTTAAATTGTTTTACCTTTTTCTTTTTCAAATAAACAAAATATATCTTTAAAATAAATGCCATTTCATTTTTAAGGATAAAATATACTACTATATTTTTGAGCTCTAGGGTTCCAGTTTTATTCTGTGTTATCTGACAAAAAGCTCCAAGCCCCGTCAGGAGCGCCACTGCCCTAGAACCAACACCGCTGGGTTGTTGGCAGTCTTCATTTTTGTCTCCAAGTAGAGACAACCAGGGCTTTGGCTTCACAATCAGTGCACTAAGCAGTTTTAAGGACTGCGGTGTACAAACGGGTTTGCTCTTTACAGCCTCACGTTCTCTTGTGACGGCCACCACCTGTACACAGCCAACAGCGAAGGCACGGTGATTGCCTGGTGTCGGAAGGACCAGCAGCGCATGAAGCAGCCCATGTTCTACTCCTTCCTCAGCAGCTATGCGGCGGGGTGAGCAGAGGAACAGCCTCGCAGAGCACCGCAGCACCACACTGGAGGCCTTGGCTTCAGCCCTTTGGAAACGGATGACTGAGCAGACACCCGGTAACAACAGTGCCGTTCCCTGCACACACTTTACAGCCTCCTGGGTCCCAGAGAAAAGCCCTGCCTGCCCTCCTTCAAGTGATGATGTGGACGGCTGGGTCAGCATACCAGCCACCAAGCTTCAAGTCTCATGGGGCAAAATACAGTCAAAATCTTAGTGCTATTTCCCAAGAAGGTATTCTGAAGAAAAGTTTAGTGTTCCTCTTTTCCTTCAAAAGAAAGTGAAGCATTTAAATTGACAAATTGTTTATGTAAAGTACTAAAAATTATATCCTAAAAGTTTCTGCCCTGGTGTATCCCACACATATACCCCCCCAAAAGGAAAGAACATTTCAGGACTCAATAATTGCTTCCTTTAAGAAGCAAATTATTCAGTAGGTGCTCTGCACCAAATACTTCATGGAAAATCTGAGTACTACAATTGAACATCTACTGCGTCCCAACATAAGGCAGTTTTTGTCAGTTGCCTTCTCAGCTCAAAGGAGAACTAGAATGTTCTGACAGCCATAAGGAAGAATGCAGGTACTTGTGATCTCATACACATCCTGTTTGTTCACGGAGATTTTGATTAAGATCCACAACACTAGATACTGAATATCCTTGGTTGAGAGACTAATGTTTAAGCATAATGGTAAAATTCTAGTGTCTGCCATTGCAATGCTGTCTTAGGAAACACTGAATAGAATTTGCACTAGAAAACTCTGCTTGGTGTTAACAGAGGCAAAACAGCTCAGCCAGTCCACAGGGAGAGTGCTATACCCTGAAACAGCTGTGAAAGTGAAGGCAGCTTGTGGGTGCGGACAGAAGGCAGAGCTACGCCTTCTTTCTAGGAAACCTGTTTCACTCATTCCTGCTACCCTGAAAATCCTAGGGACAGTGGGAAAGCTCAGCGTGAGCCATCACATACACAAGGAAAGCTCTGGAATTGTCTCTGCTGCACAGGGACAGCTGGATTTTAACTTGAGGTGCTTCTTCAGGGGCTTAGAGATCTGTCACCTCGGATTGAAGCATGTACTGCTGCCTCACTGCATCAGTCATGGAGATTAGTTCACAGTGTTTACAGAGCACTTTCGTAACTTCCAGACTGTCTAAACATTCTGCTGAAAACTATAAAATGCAATTCCAGCCTTTCTGCTCTGGGGACAGGAACAGGGAGAGCTGGAGCCTCACAGGCTCTTGACCTGACCTTGGCATCTTTAGATCGAGTTGACATGGGCCACATGTTACTCCTGGGGTCCACTTGAGGCAAAGATAACTTACTTCTACTCACATTGAAGTGACCAGCTTTGTCTGGCTTCCAGTTTTTACTGAGAACTTCCAGTTAGTCTCCTAGGATAGGGATGCTATGCAGTCTTGTTTTTTAAGGGCCGAATTTCATCATTTATCTGAAGAGAAAATATGCAAACTATTTGGTCTTGTTAAGAGTGCAATATTCTATTTTTATGTAAAAATGAAAATTAATTGGGATTATTTATTGAGCATGAAACCCAGTATGTATATGTTGGAAACACTTCCTAACATGCATGTTGTAGCAAACATTCCTGTAAACCATCACATGCTCTATTATCTTTGTATACACTGCCACTTCAGTTTGGAAATAAATTTCATAAAAGTAGATTTAAACACGTCTCTTGTGTGGCTTCAATATTATGGCCAGATCTTCATTTATGGCTATTGTGACACAAGGTGCGGTGTCCACAAGTCTCACTAACAATCCCGTGCAGGCTGTGCTGGGCCTAGTCCTTTCAAACCACTGAGCCTCATCAAGGAATAAAACCAACAGCCAAGCCAGACAAGCTGCTACCCCCAAAGATGCCTGGTACACTGATGGCACAAGCAAGCTCCAGGCAGGAATGGGTGGCTGCAGTGATGCAGAGGTGCACAGAACCCATGTAGCCACAGAAAGAAGGAAAGGGTAGCCAGAGGCTGAGTTAGGAGCACTGTGAGTAGCTGTAGCTCATGAGGTGCACATGTGACAATCTGCACTACAGTTGGGGTGTACTCAGAAGCATCACTTTTTTTAGTGTGTGTTTTGCCTGCATGTATGTGCACCCATGCATGCAGTGCCCACAGAGACTAGAAGATGGCTTCTGATCCCCTGGAATTGGAGTTCAATACAGTTGTTAGCCACCATGTGGGTGCTGGGAACCAAACCAGGTCTTCTGCAAGAGCAGCCAGTGCTCTTAACCAACCTCTGAGCCACCTCTCCAGCCTCAGAGACATGATTTTATGGATGCTTTGGTGGAAGAACTGGCAGGTGCTAATGGGGACAACTGGGAACAACATATGCAGAAGGAAGCAGAGCATTCAACAGGAATCACAGTAGTTTTCCACCTGGCAGTCCATAGTCCATGAGTCTTCACAGAAGCCAAGAACTCCAATATTTTGCATACTATCCAAACATGAGGCCTTTTCTCAATTACAGTCATAGTAGATGGATGCCATGGTGGTGTAAGTAAATACTCTACCTGTCCTGTACAGGATTGGCAAGTCACCTCATAGAGCCTATTCCTGTCAGTGAGGTATACAGATAAGCCCTCACCTGTGTGAGCACTGCCCCAGGCCTCTTACAAGCATTTCCATGCAAGCGAGCAACAGGTAAGGCTGCCATCAAGGGTCTCACCTGACTCAATGTTGTTAGGGGTGTTCATGGAGAATTGGCAGTTGGCAGGTGTTTGTTTCACATGCGTTGTCAAGTGGGCTGAGGACAGCCAGGTGCAGTGGTACACCCTTCCACCCCACCCTACAACCCTACAAGGTCTGGACTTACATAGAGGAAGAATTGCTAAAACTGCAGCTAAAGAATTTGAACACAGCTACTCTGACAGGAGCAGAAAAGGACCCTCCTAGAAGCCATAAAGAGATTAAACCAAAATCCCAATGCTAGTGGAATACCTCTCTATGAGTTGTTGGCCAAGGGGGTCCCTGCAGCCCCCCCAAGCAGTACAGGCTACTATCACTGTGTGTCCAGTGGTAAGACCCTATTGTTGAAGATGCCACTTACATTTATGCTGTGGGGCTGTCAGCTTCAGTCCACGAAACTTCATCTTGCAGTGGGTAGCAATTACTGTAGAAACTCGTAAGTGGTCTGGGTGCTGGGAATACATGGTGTTTGGATAGCAGCCCTAATTGAGACCTCTGCATCACGCCCTCCATGGCTCAGGGAACATTGTGGAAGGGCGGTAAGAAGAGGAGCTGGAGGAAACCCTGGGGGATATGGAATGCTGTCCTCTGCGCATGACATTGTACTTGCCCTCTTGAACTTACAGCCATTGTGATTACTCGCAGGAGACCTGTCCAAGATGGAACCCATGAACTGTCTGCCATGGAGGAAGGGGAGGGGCCAACAGGGCCTCCTCTCCCCACAGACTTGTAGACAAAGTTAATTATTGCTATGGAAGAATGGCTCACAAGCCCCCACTATGAAGATTACAGATCATCGGCCATTGCTAGGAGCTAGGGGTCAAGAAGTCCCACCCCTCCCTAGGAATTTATAGGTAGTTAACGGTTACTAGGAGAGGTCAGCTCACAAGGCCCACCCTACCAAAGGATTTATAGTTAATGGTTGCTATGGAAGGGGAGCTCAGGAAGTCCTGCCCTTCCTAGATGTCTTATTGGCAGGAAGCAGTTGCTAGGCAGAGGAGCTATTGGTGAGGCTTTCTCCTGTCATTTCTAATTGGCTTACTGAGTGTTTCACTTCCTTCTTCATTTCAGCCTGAGTATTCTTCAATATGTCTAGCTCTTTTCTGAATTCATTCAGAAGTTTATCCCTATCTTCCTTCAGCTCTATGATTACCTTGTTTGTGTGTTCTTTAAATTCACTGAATTCTTTTATCATATTCATCATTGTTCTTTTGAGTTCCATGTCCTGCATAGTCTCTAGAGGATTCTCATTGTGCTCCTCTAGAGGATTACTGGTATTTGGTGGGGATATGTTATTTTGGATTGACATGAATTTTTATTATTTTTTCTTAGATATCATAATTTACTTGATTAAAATGTTATATCATAATTGCTTCATATGCACAATAAAATATGTTTTACTTTTTAGTTTACTTTTTGGGCATGAAAAGCTGGTTCCTCTAAGCTTCTGGGTCTCTCCTTTGATTTTATGTTGGAGTGGCCAGATTGCTTTCATCTTCAGGAGTTCCCACGGAGGCCCACGTCAGATGAGGATCAGATGTTCTCAGTCTCTCTCCTAAGGTCTGGATCCCTCCAGGAAAGATTTTGGCCTCAGGAATTTGGGGGTTGGACTGGCCTGGGAGCAGGGCCCAGAAAAAATGCTGGTCTAGGGCAGCTGGTGGCCATGCCACCCAGAGATGCAAAGGGAGATGGGGGCAGGAAGAGGCCCTAAGGGCTCCTGGGAACTGCACTGAGGAACTGGGTTGGTCTGGATGCAAAGGATCAGGAAGAGGAAAGGTCAGCCCTGGCGTCCAGGAAAGAGGCTGGCAGGTTGTGCAGCCCAGGGAAGCAGAGGGAGGAGAGGGCGGGGCCAGACCCAGAGGGCTCCTGGGGACCCCAGAAGGAACTGGGTTGGTCTGGATGCACAGAATCAGGAAGCAGTGGTGGTTCCCCAGGTAATCTGGGTGCCAAGACAAGGAATGGGACAGAACCCAGGCTAGGAGGAGAGAAGGGCAGGGGAGATGGGAGGGTAAAGGAGGCTGGGGGAGTCAAGGCACGGAGGGCACGATCGACTTACCCCAGAGAGAGCAGCCCTTGGGTTTTTTAAGACAGGGTCTCTATGTAGCCCAGGCTAGCCTGAAACTCCTGCCTTCACTCCATGAGCACTGCCACACTTAGTTAGGAAAGCCTCTTTGCTGGAGTCCTGCTCCAGCTGAGTCTGGGGCCTGAAAGGGTGAAGGTAACTGTGGCAGTAGAAATGACTACCAGAAACCACAATTGCAGTTCTAGTAGTGGCTGTTGACTGAGCCTCTCGGGAGGTCAGCCCAAATGTCTTTTACTTCTCTTCTTCTTTTTCTCTTCTGAAAAGCAGCCTCCTACAACCTTTATTTATAATTAGAAAGCTTACAATAGCAGTAAAGCATCAGACCATAAATCAAACCACAAGTTAGTTGCACAGTATTTCTCAGTGTACAATATTTTTCAATAATCACAGTAAAAGGAAAGTACAAAGTTCAATGATTAACCTTTTCTTAGCATAGCCAAGCAATGTCTTCATTGTTTTCTTTATAGCCTTATGGTTTCTATTTTACCATAGACGTGTTAGACAGCCTGTCCCCATTTTCCCTTTAATTCTTTGA